CAGTTAATAAGAGACCGCGTGAGACAGAGAAGGAGAAAGTGAGAATCGGTAATGTGGAGAGGAGAAAGAAAACGAGATACCCAATGTCTCTCCTCCATTGCAGCATAGAGATCGTCTGTAGAAAGTGCATCGGGAAAGCGAAAGAGATGCATAAATGTGACCATAAATTATGACTCGCGCCTGTGTACGCTTATGGAATCTGTCTCGAGTATCCCTTTGGCTTAGTGAAGATTAGCTATGTCCTTTAACGAATGTTTTGTTTCTTATTAGAGAAAGGTGATTATAAAAATAAAACCTTATGCCAATAGGATATCCTTTCATTTCTAATAATAACTTAATTTTTTATTTTACTCGTTAAAAAAATAACAATTTTATTATTAGGAAATTGTTAAAATTGAATGATATTAAATATTTTTAATATAAATATAAATATAAATATTTAATATAATATAAATATAAAAGTTAATTGAGCCCTAGGATTTGAAAATATCGGTAGTATAATGTTGAAAGGTATACCGTGGAGAGACCAAAGTTTGAAGTAAAGTACGAGATCCAAGAGAGGATTTGTTCCCGCGAGGAAGAGGAACCAATTCAGGGATTGAGAAAGTTGAGAAGCTGATGGATGAAACAGGAGAATGATAGGAATCGTGTTGTTGGAATCTTGTTTTGAATTCGGTTGCTTTGACGTACTAGCCAAGAGTTTAGAACTATTTTCCCAGTTGTCTATATCAAATTCAACGTTAATAATATAATTAAATAAAATAAAAGATGACTTTAAACTTTAAATTGCTCTTTTCACTTTATGAATCTTATAAATCTTAACTGTCGTTTCTTAATTTTAACTTAATTCATCTTGTCGAACATTCAACATAACCTAAAACAATTTAATGTAGATAATATTTATCATAGATCCAATATTACAATATAACGAAAGGTTAACTTAAATTAAATCTTATTTAAAATGTTAATCCTTTCTTATGCAAAGAAAATCACTATTGTTTCTTTTAAACGTTGTTTTGTTTCCTTTTGTTCATTGTATCGAAGATTTAATATAGTTAGTTTAAAAATAATAATTCAGACAATAGAATTTATCATAGATCCATTACTATAACAAAAGATTAATTTAAATTGAATCGAATTCTTTTATTTTATACAAAACGATTATCATTCCTTTTAATTGATTGCGTCGAAGATCCAACATAACCTAAACATAGCAACTTACCGTAAACGATAAAATTTATCACGTGTCAAGTACATACTGCAACGTAAAAGAGAAGCGATGGAGAATGTCAGGTGAAGAAACACCGGCGCCGTGAAACCGCATCGTCGAATCGGGTTGGAATAATCAAATTAGCAGGCGAGTAGCAACAGACTACAGAGTTGAGCTGACAATAGCGAAAACTCGTTCGAGTTGCATCGCAGTGTTTGAGAGTTCTCGCAGGATGGTAGAGGACGCGACGGTTGTACGGAGAAGTTTGGAACGCGGCCTCGACCCGAGTCGGAGAGCCACTTCACGGCATTTAGCAGCCCTTGTTTACAAGGAAGCGGCGCGCATCGCATATATTTACTCGGGTCACAGCATTCGTATTCCAGCCGACTGTGTTCGTCCGTTCGTACTCCGCCATGCAGAAGTGCAGTGTGCGAGTGTGCCTCTAGTGCCGATACGTGCTGGTATTTCCAACAGGCAACCGATTCCAGGGCCGGCCCTCGGTTTATTGTCGAGTTGTGTTCGTTGAAAATTGTCACTCTTTAACAAATAGCTTCGTTTATGATTTTGAGAGATTTTTTTCTGTCTTGTGAGGAAGTTTTGATTAGTTGATTATTGAAAAGAAAATGTGGATAATATTACTGAAAGTATTAATCGGAAATATTTAGGTTAGGTTAATATTTGAAGACATTGCTAAGTTGAAAAGCTTATTTTCATGCTTCTATTTTTATATATCTCTTGAATTCTAGTTTCTCCTAGAAATATTATCTTTTAATTATGTTATAAATAATTATTTATTTTTTTATTTTTAAAAATTTTGATTTTGATAAAATTAATACAAAGTTTAATTTCATAATTTATATTATGGCAAATTAAATTAAAAATAATACAATTATGTAACAAATACTTCTTTTTTTCAAATTACACGAATATTTTTTCATTTATTAATTTTTATTTTAATATGCTTTTTTTTCAAATCTCCAAAAGAAATGTTGTACATCTGTATAACACTTAAATCTCAAATTTATAATAATTGTAATAAAGAAAAAAAAATACAATTATCCTTAAAAGCAGTTATTACGATAATTTTTCGTTAATATTTGGGTCCAATCCTTTTCTATTGATTGATATTGATGGTATTGATATATTTATTTTTTCAAAGGATGTTGTGAGATATTTTTAATTATTCAAATGGTTGATTTTATATAAGTACAACACAGAAAAATTATAGTTATATTAACAATTTTTAATATTTTTCATTTTTTTGTGTTTTTTCATTAAAATTTAATAAATGAATTTTAATAACATTTATATATAATAATTTAAAATTTCCAATATTCACTTTTTAAATAAAATTTAAAAATACGAATGAACTATAATAACAACGTTTATTTTTTGAGTCAAGATAAATCTTCATAATGAATTTGTAATGGAATAAACTTGAATACAAGAGATCTTATTAGACAAATTTATCAGAGACAGTATCTGAAAATAAAATTTATTACAATTCAGAAACTAGGTTAAGCACTTGAATATTGGAATTCATTGTCGAAGCAAATTCCAACGAAAGCGTAATACTTTGAATATCTAATTAAGTAATAAACAAAGAATTTAAATTATGTGCAAAGGTAGATAACTTGAAAGTTTCTTAATTAAATTATATTAAAAAAAGAAAAATAAATAAATAGTTTAAAAAATTGAACAATATATTTTGGAATTTTAGGTTAGGTTTAGAATAATAGGTTGATATATTTTGAAATTATGATATTCTTATTTATTTCGAAATTATTATTTTTAAAATTAAATAACAAATATTGATTTAATAAATTTTTATATATATATTTTTTTGCGTAATCGAAATAATATTAACAATGAAATTTTACAAGTCATAAATTAAATATAATACTAACAATTATTAATTCTAACGAATGAATTCTTTTATCTACATCAATTGAAAAATTTGTATATATTACAGTAAAACCAAATTAATAAAAATTAAAAACGAGATAATCAGTTTCTAAAAATTAGTCATAAACAAAAAAATATTAATAATAATAAAGATAAAAACAAATCAATTAAAAGAATTTTTATCCTTATAATTGTACTTCGCAACTTTATTTAACCATTCAAGCAAAAGTGGTGACAAATCGAAAACGCGATTCGCGTTAATTAAATCTCAATTAAAAATATTAACCATATAGCAGCGATTATTCTTCGAGATATTATTCACGAGCGAAAATTGAAATTAATTAAGCAGTGTTCCTCAAGAGATCGCCTCTTCTCTCGATAAATCCGCGAACTTAACGATACGCTCGTTGATTTCGCGTATTCACTCATCCCACGACCCAATTTTTTTCCACCGTTATCCGAATATAAATCAGGTCGTATGTGTGTCAAGAGATCGATAACGTACACGATATACGTACGTATAATGCGCGATGATTAATCTGGCGAGAACAACGACCGATAAACATGAAATACGAAATCATGTGGATGAACGAATAATAATAACAGTGAGGACGGAAATGTATCGTGATAATTTAAAATCTTTATTCGGTGAATTGTCAAATATTCTATACCGGGAATAAAAATGTCATCGAATATTCATTACTTTTTTTTTCATTATTTGAAATTGGATATCTTCTGACGTATTATGATGAAAACTTTTTTGATTTATTTTTGTCTTTGTATTTTAACATAATTAGATGTGTATATTTTACTATCATCGTATCTATTAAAGATAATTAAAACAATGTTAAATTTTGGATTAAAATTAATGTCTATTCCAGTTAAAATAAATATGATTTGATATTTGGCGAATAAAAATATATATTAAATAAAATTTAAATAAAATTTGGTAAATATATCCAGTGATTTATATCTTTTAATTTTTTAATTTATATATGATTAAAATTCAATTGTAGCTGTTATTAAAATTTATTATTTGCGCAATTATTTATTATATGATTATAATTTAATAATTGATAACTATTATAGATTGATAATCGTATTGAATATTATTGAAAATATATTAATAAGTATCCAAAGCAAGATATTTTTCTTAACTTTAATTAGAGATTCTCATAATATCAAAATTGGTGTTATAATGACCTTAATCTCAAAATCATTACGATTTTAAGTTATCTTGAGTATTGATATTAATCTCAAGATTAATTTAATTAATTATATTTCAAGACTTTTTTAGGATTGAGACTCAAATTAACTCATTAAAATCAAAGGAGATCTTAAAACAAAAAAAACGCTGAAGATAATTTTATGATCACAAGAATATTCAGATTATACAATCACTAAAATCCTAAAAGAGAAAATTCTGAGAACAAAGAAGCTCTGACACAAATAAAACCCAAATTAACTTTAATGTTACAATTTAATTAATTAACCTTAAGCATAATTCTGGGCCTACAGGGACACTGACACTATTTGATCTCTAATCTGAGGATTAAGGTTGATATCTCAGTGACTCTGGGACCAAGAGAATCCTGAGCCTAGGGGACTCTGGAGATAAATGATCCAGATGATCGTATCAACCATCAAGAAAATATAAGTTTTTATTCTAATGTAATGATTATCATAATATCAAATAAAATGAAGAATTTTTAATTTATAATTATGTAATGTAATTACTAATTATAATTAATTTACAATAATTATATTATCATAAAAGATTGCTTAGTAAATTATCTTAATATATTGATTCAAAATAAAAATCTAAGAATATTTTTTTAATGTAAAAATGGATTTTCAATATTTTTTTACATCTAGAAAATTTATATGAACATTATGGCTATTATTGTCAGATAGTTTTGTCTGTTTATTACTCTCAATAATTTAACAACACATCGTAAACCTGAAATTTATGAAGCATAAGTGACAGATATAAGAAGTTATTAGTTATTTTTTCATATCTGATTCGAATTCCATAAATTCTCTAATATATCTGATCCTATCAGCTGATAGCTATCTATTTCACAAATTTTATAGGTCCATATTTGTTACGAGTCTATAAATATATGATATAATGTATGATGATACGAATAAAGAAAATTTTAGTCTTATAAAAATTTTTGAATTATAGAGATTCAAGTTATATAAGTTCAATATTATTATATTTTCTGTGACAATAGGAATGCACTATTTCTGTTGCGCGTAATTACATATACCGTTAAACGTACAAGTATAAGGTGTCGTGGTTGTATTGATCGTAATTACCTGTACCGTTAAATATAAACACGCGACTGAATGATATCTACCATTGGTTCGTTTCCTTTCACGTTGTAATTCGAAAGACATGACTAATCTAACGCGCCTATTACAACGATATTTCTTGTGTCTTTATCGAGTATCATTTAGTTTCACGTTTCTTCAATTATGACATTATATCGAGTAATTGGATAGCCTGAAATCGAATTTTGAAATCGAATCTTTATCCATGAACGATAATTTTTCACGTTAAAGTTAATGATTTTCATTCACTTTCTAATTCCTTTTCTAATATGTACTTTCTTCTCTATATTATTTTCATGCACATATGTTCGTATTCGTACTTATAAATTCATAATTGCGTTTCAATCATCTTAATACATTTAAGTTTGAATTTGATTGATTACATATCATCAATCAATATTCTGAATTGAAGGAAAAATTATGGCATAAATTACATATGTCAAACATAGCACCTCTATTTGATAAAATTTATAGCAAAAATATCAGAATGACCAGAGATTAATCATAAAATTTTACAGCAAAAAGATATCCTCTATCCCTAAAATAAAACAAAATTTTATCAACATTATCAAAAATCAAAATAACAAAAATAAAATAAAACTTACCCCTTTTATTAATTCCTAAATTTTCATCTTTCTTAAAAGATTCTCTATCCCTAAAATAAAACAAAATCTTATTATCATTATCAAAAATCAAAATAACAAAAATAAAATAAAACTTACCCCTTTCATTAATTCCTAAATTTTCACCTTTCTTAAAAGATAATATGGAAGACACTTTCCAAAGAAAGTTATATCCCGAAAATCATCGGCATCATCGTTCCTCTTCACCCTGCAATGATCTCTATTTAAAAAAAAAAAGTGCACAACTTTCCTGTTCGACGAGGTAAAGGATGGTCGTGATCGAGCAAAACGCTCGCCTCGATTCAGAGCAACTTTCGACCATCTTATCCGCTCACGAATCCGCAATGGGCTCCCATTATTTAATCAACGAAACGTCTCGTTAGCGATCTAGGTCACATACGAGCACGTTTCCCGTGTCTTCCACGGGTCGAACGTAAATCTGGAACCGGTGCATCGGTGAGTCTCCTCCTTGGACTCGCCAAACTCTCTCTCTCTCTCTCTCTCTCTCTCTCTCTCTCTCTCTCTCTCTCTCTCTCTCTTTCTCTCTCTGTCTCTTTCCTTTCATCCTTGCCACGTTTCCGGAACGTCTGGCGTCGTAGCGAGCACGCATCGTTGCCCCTTGACAATGGCCAAACTCTGATGGCTCTTGTGTACACGTTGATTCAAGCGAACGATAACGTTTCGCGCCAAGAACGCGTTTTCCAGTCACGATCGCATATTTGTTCTTATCGAGGAGAGAAGATTATCGGAAAGAAGGAAGTGTATACCTTAAAATTATTCAAAAATTTTATACGATATATATATTATAAATCTCTATAGGTGTCAATTCTTTCTGATTTGCAACCGCCTTTGGAAATATTCAATTTCCGATTTTTTTTTTTATAGTAAATAAGAAAAATTTTTAAAATTAACGTAGTTTAGTTTAACGAAGAATGACTAGAATTATGATTTTTGAATTCAGTAGTAAGAGGATTTATATACATTTTAAATAAATGTTAAAAATTATTATTTAAATATGATAACTGCAATTACTCTGAATTGATCACCTATAGATAATGCTATAAATAAAATATTTTTATTTTTTCGGTTAAAAAAAAATATCTTACATCAATTGTCATGAAAGAAGATTACGTCAGTATACCTTTGCACAATTTTCATTCAATTTCCATGCCGTAAATTTTAATCTTATAAAATTATCTGTAAAAAAAAAATTATCAAATAATTTATCAATTTACATTAATATCCATTTATTTAATAATAATCAGTACAAATTGAAATCGTAAGATGCATTGATAATCCTTTCATAAATGCAAATATATTCCCAGCCATGTATCAGACAAGTATATATGCATGTATATCTAGCCAATCGATCGAGATTTCTCATTCCTCGGTTCACGTGCAATCATCGAAACATCCAAGTTGGTTAAATTTCATCCACGTGGCATCCAATCGTGTTAATTAATACTATCGTGGAATCACACGACTATATCCATCCAAATTACATTTCCACAAGTGAACTTTCTATATAAAGCGAATCTCTCGTTCGAAAAACCCGCCATAGAAATGCAACGGCTTTCAAATAATTCGAATAAAAAGCGGGAAAGTCTGAGAAATTCATATTCGGCATCCCATCTACAGCCAATTGATGTAATATTTAATGAAATTACTCGACGAAATTAATTCGCGATATACAGGCCGGTGAATGAAAATCTTAGATGGCACCACTTGTATCAGAGGCCATTAATTACCTCGATTCTTAATTAATTAGCATCCTTACAAGATACTCGTCCGTATCTCGAGCACTTTGAATATACACGACGACACTTCGTTGACCATTTTCCATTTTATCATTTTCGAGGTGGAACGAAAACGTTGGCTCACGAGAGAACGTTTATTAATATTCTGTATAAAAGGAAGGATACATTTTCGAAATGAAATTTTATGGATGCGAATCGTTTTTCTCTTTCTATTCTGATTCGTATTTATTAAAGCTCTTTCTGAAGAAAATTCTCGGTTTCCATGTAGAAATCAACTGAAAATAAAAAAGAAAAATGTCAATATAGACATATAAATATATAGAAGAAAAATAACCAATAAAAAATAAGTTCAGAAACTGAAACAAGATACAAATTTCTTTTTTTTTGCTGTACAAGATACAATAATTTAATAAGAAGATTTATTCTTTGATTTTCAAAGATAAAAAACTGTGTATATTAATTTAATTTTGTCAAATGATATTATTTATATTATTATTTTTTTTCCATAAATTCAATTTTACCGAATGTCCTGCATATGCAAAAGTATTCTTTACGTTGTCTATTACATCTCTAAGCTGCGTGGCAATAATTTTCGTACGATTAATTTTAATTCCACGTTTCGTATTATCTATTGAAACCAAAGACTGCAAATACGTGACGGCCATACTACGGTCATCGGTGCTACGTGATCTAGTAAATACAATTTCAACAGGAAGATGGAACGTTTGCATACAAAGATGAAAAACGAAATACCTTGTCAGATATTTTTAACAGACATTAACTGCAATCACTTACATTTTCTTAAAATTTATTAGCTTCTCCACAAAAGTTCATTTAACTCTTCCAAGAATAAATTCTTTTACAATTACTTTTACAAAGAAAATACAATTCCAATATTTAAAAATCCATTTCACCGTTAAAACTAACTAAAATATTACATCTCTTATTCACTCTCTCTGTATATGTACAATTTATATACAATTTTCTCTATCTATCTACAATACATTGAACCTTCAAAAAAAAAAATAACTCACAATTTCCATTAAACTTTCTTCTAAAAAAAAATAAAGAAATAAAAAGAATAAAAAGAAGAAATAACAGAGAAGAAACACTGTTCGTCCCACTTTCTAGAAAACGTTCTGTACAAACTTACAAACCAGTAATTCGCAAAGGAAGAAAAAAAAAGAAGAAGAAGAAGAAGAAGAAGAAGAAGAAAGAGGACGTTTTCAATGTAATTTTTTTTCCCCCCCTCCACCCCGACCGAAGTTAATGGGCAAAACGATTCCGTGCACCGAAGCCTGCTCGCGAAATTCCCCGATAAATACACAGGAAACGAGCCCGCATAACGATAGAAATCGATAACATCCGACGCGATAATATCGCCGTGGCAGCGTTTATTCAAACGCTCCCCGTGTTTTCGCTGCACGGCTGATTTCGAAACAAAGCCGAAACGGGGCCCCGGATAATGTCGTAGACGCGTGTATCATCCGCTTTGATGGATTATGGAATATACTTTACGGTCGGCCCGTTTCATTTTCACTCGCGCGAAAATTTGCTTTCGGTTTTTCGCACAAAATATTTACATGAACATAGGCGCACACTCGTGAATGTAATACAATTTTTGGAAATCGTTTGAAATGTGGCCCGATCAAAATGGAAATATTGATTCGTCGCTGCGAAAGAGGATGGAATGTTTGATTGATGGAAATAATTTACTTCTCGAATTATTATGTTTGGTATGATATTTTGAAAATTTAAAAAATAAATATTTTTGCAAGGCAAAAGTGATTTTCATACGTCTTCCACGTGAAAAAATGTTTTTGAAAAATCATATTTATAACTCGATATTTAATAAATAAAAAGAAATAATTTTTTTTTTTTGTTTTTTCATTTCAATTCAATATTCTATAAATTATATTTGGTACATATGTAAGTTAAAATAACTCGCTTATCTGGACTTATATCGTTATATATGATTCATACTCTTTAACCATGGTTTCTTGAATTTTTTCTCCTTTTCTTTTTCTTCGTATAATTTCAATAAGCTATACAATTCATATGAATGTTCAATATCTTTGAAATTTTAAAATGAATAGCAAAAAAAAAAAAAAAAAAAGAAAAAAGAAAGAAACATACCCATTCTATATAGAATAATTGAAAGAATAGAAAAATTTCGCTACGCAGAATAAGGAAACGAATGAATATTAAAATAACAAATAGTTGGAACTACTAAACACGTACACATACCAGTTGGAAAAGCTGCTTTTCCTGGAACATCTCTCAAAACGTGTGGAACATCTTAATTACATTTAAACATCATATATTTTACAACATTCCTCAAGATTCCTCCATTTCATCTTGAACTTCACTATTTTCACCTATTACACGCTGATTTTTTCTTACCTCCTTATTAAGTATAATAAGCGTGGAATCTCCAATATCACGTACTTCCGTTAGAAACTCATTCAACTACCATTTCACCGGCAAAAAAAATAACTCGACGTTTGAGCACTCGATAATAACTTGTCGAGCTGTAGAAACGTGGACAATCATAAATATGAAGATAAATAAGGCACGGTTAATTAACGGTATAACAGATTTCGCGGACATAATTTATCGATACCATTGACGCTTAATTAATAGCCGAGAAGGACAACGATTTTTTCGAAGGAGAAAAATCGTTAAGACGTTTGAAAATAGTCCGAGAATTCCGTTATTGTTACAATAATAATTTCAATTTGATAAAATGATGATGATCGAAGTTAACAGATCTCGTTTTAACTCTGTCATTGAAACGTGGAGAATTCAGAATTCAGTCAGGAATTTTTCATCATTCGATCACCACCGTCCATGCACAATTTCGCTTTGAATATTATAGTGTGAAACATGGAAACGCTTTTATTGAATATCGATAACAACAATATTAGTCACAGTTCTGTAAGAATGTTTTGACGTTGTTCATCCATTACGTGTCATCCTGTCATTTCCGGTTTCGAATCTATATAAAACTATATAAATCGAATCATTGAATCGTATAATTATCCTAAAACAATTTTGTATCAATAACATTTATTTATATTCGTTGATAAATCTTTTTCCTTTAAGAAAACTCGTCAAATTTCAACGATAAAGAAGGGTGGAGCTTGAAATGATCCATCGAATCATTAAAGATATGAATATAACGATGATGATCAAGAATCGAGCAGCAAGATGAACAAATTTAAAAATTAATTGCGGCAAATTGATTTAATGCGATTTATAATAAAACAACGAGGAGAAATTTTAATCCTTTCTGCCTTCCTCAGTTTAAACAATCTTAGTTTAAACACGAAATATCACGATTCGTTTCAGACCAAATTCGATTTCATATATATCATATACATATATATATATCAGTTTAACAACAGATATTTAAAAATAATATTCCTCCTGTGTATAGTGGCAAAATTCTAAACTGAATGCAATATATCAGAAGAAAGTTCAATCGTGTTTTGGACGAAACTTCAGCCACGTATCGTTTCAAAATATTCTTTTCCAGAATATTATTATTATAACTGAAACGTTGAGGGACGTTTGGTGTACCCTATATTTGTCACGAGGAATCCTCTGTGGGATGGAACTGTGATCAGTTTGATGGGAGAAGCGTGTTCGCGCGTTCACCATCCCTGCCACCATCCTCGGCTGTAATTAAACACGGTGCCGACAAATTGCATTCGTTGCGCGACATGGAGGGGGTTTTCGTATCCGATGTCCCTGTTTTGTTATTCGACAACGTGACTTATCTCATATACGCGCCGGATCTGTTCGCGATTTTGGGAAAAATCGAGGGCGATGCATTTCGTGTGGGTGAAGAGAAGAATTAAAGGAGATGATGAGAAAAAAGATAGAAGGAAGATTGGAACGAAAGATCGTTCAATCATTATTTAAAATAATATAATAAGATTCGTTTATCATTGAAATTAGTGCATTTAACACGATTCAAATATTCTACACACATATAACATATAAGACTCAGAAATCTTTAGTTACAATTTGTTTGATACAAGATAAGGAAAAAATAAATAATTTTTTTTTTTTTGAGGAAACAAAACTCGAGAGTATTAAAAAATTTGATTCAAAGGGGGGAAGGATAAAAATGGTAGAAGGGGGAGGGGAAAAAAATGGCACAAAGGTAAAGGAGAAGGGGATGAAGCGAATGATGAGACAAACAAGAGGGCCGGAAAGTGGCCGTATAAACGGAAGTGCGCGTTAAAAAGGGTATAAAGGGGTGAAAAGTCGGGGCGAATCAGTGGGACAGAATGAAAGTAAAACACGGAGTACAAATAAGAATGGAAACGATCGTGAAGGAAAAGGGAGGGTTTGAAGCAGGGTAGGAGGGGGGAAGAGGGAAAGGGAAAGTCGAGAAGCTCGGGCAAATGAAAAACGGGGCGGGTTGGCTGGTAAAGGTGCATCAAGGTATGAAAAATAAAGAGACAGAGGAAAGGAGGAACGGGTTCATATGAAAGCTGCCGCGAGCGCAACATGCAAACAAACAGCATGTCTATCTTTGTGCTTTCGAATATGCACAAAACGCACAAAGAATGTTGCGCATTTACCAAAGTTTGTTTAAGAGTTCCGCCCAGTTGCAATTTCAGGATCGTGCAATGTTTGCCCGATCGAAGCACGAAATTGTTCCCGTAATTTAAACGTTTTAACATGCTTTTGTATTGAAATAATTAGGTGTATTTTATTACAACGTATTCTATTCGCGTATATATATATATATATATATGTATGTATATAAAGAAAATTTTTAAGAGAAAAATTTTTATTATAAACAAATATGTAATAAAAGTCGTAACTAATATTTCTTCAGGATGCTAATATTTTTCGATGCATAACGGAAGAAAGCACGCGTGATAATTGAAACATTTATGTAAGAATATATTTTTAGAAGTAACAATGGAAAAAGATGAACGTGAGCTCCGTGTCGCAGAAAGGAATTTCATTTTCGCGATCATTCAATGCAAATAAAAAAAGAAAAAAAAAAAAAAAGAAGAGAAAGAGCTCGTTAACGCGACTTCGTTAACCGTAAAGCGATTGCTACTCTTCGTTTAATAGCTCGATGCGATATTTTAAAAGTATGCTCGAATCACCAAGGATGGAAGCAACGAATGAGAAACGGAGCATAGATAATTCAGATTCGTTGTCACGCGAAAAAAAATATTGAAGTATTTTCTTTTTTTAAATATTCTAACAATTTACAGTACTATAAAATATTAACTATCATTTACCAATTTTCATGCAGAGATTTATGAAGATTCAGAAGTAAATTTAAGAGATATACTGTAATAAACTGTATCTTTTTATTACTTGTTTAATTCATATTTTCAAAAATTGCAAAACTATTATATCGAAGCAATAATTCTCCAGTATTCTAAAGTATTTTTCTGCGAGACATTAATTTTCACGATATTAAAAAAATATTGATGATATTATAATTATCCATATCATAAAATATTTTTTTCATTGTAGAATTGTAACACTTATCACATCTTTATGAAGACACGTATATCAACGTTTCAATAAAATAGAACATTAATATTTACATTACTACAACATGAAATTTATTTCTTCATTTCAATTCCTATACAAGCTGATTGGCGATGGTAATAATCATCCCTCGAGAAAAACGTTAAACGTACAACATGAAAGACGATTCATTGTGCTGCGAAAAGGCGCAAATAGAAATCCACTAGATAGAAATGGATAGAAAATTTTAAATTTTAACTTTAAGAATAAAATTACTTTAACAAATAATTTATTATTCGCAACAATTAATTATAGCGTCGAAGTCAATTATAGAATAATATGTTATTCGAGCATTTTAAAGTTTTAATGTTATTTGAAATAATTTTATTTGAAATTTTAACCAATTAATTTTTCAACTCGTTAGTGCCTAACTGTGCTCTAGAGTTCGTGAGAAGCGATGCAGCTCGTAAGCAAATACAACGGCGTGAAAAAAACGAAATCGCCGCATCCCTGTTGGGAAAAGAAGTTTTCCGGAACGTCTGGCTCGCGGGAACGCTCGTTTTTATTGTCCAACACCCAATCGCGTATTGGACTCGTGGTGGCTAGCAATAAACTTCTTAAGTGCCGGGAAACGCAACGAATAAGTCTCGTGGACTTGCTCGTATCCAAACGAAATAAAACGAGGAAGAGAGAGGTTATTTAAGCGCGTGTAAGTGCTATAAAGGCTCCTTTTTTAGATGTGTGTTGCACAGGTGAAGCTTCATTTAGTTTCATTTCCGTCTATGCGTTTCGTTTATGTATTCTTCCTCTAATTCTTTCTTTCGAGAATTACATTCTCGTAAGTAATGTTTGTAGTGTACTTTATTCGAATAACATTGTTTAGAGGATTCAGAAAACAATTTGTACATTGTATAGATTATATAAAATTATATAAGATCATATAAAATTTTCGATTGGATTGCGGATATATATGCAAATTCATATTTTCACTATAATTATAAAAATGAAATCTAATAAAGATTTTATTAATTCTATAAATATCCTAATAGATAATATATTTTCATGTATTATGAGATTATATCTGACATATTTTTCTTTAGAACAATTGTTTTTTCTAGTAATATAGTGCAAAAAATGAACTTTGAAGTTACCTTTGACATGATACTATTTTTTTTTCTAAAACAAAGTTTAGAAAATAATTATAATTTAAAGAATTATACATTATATATATTTATTTTAATTTTTATATATTTTTTTTATAAATATTTAAATATTCACAATCTAATTATTATTAAATTATTTACAATTATTTAATTATTTGCAATCATTTTTATTACCATATTTTGATATATACCCTTAATATTTATAAATACTTGTTGAAAAATTAATTAAGTACATAAAAAATAATTAAATTATAAGAATTATTATTTGAAAATTGAAATGTAGAAAGAGATAATTTTTTATTTAAAACATTTATTGTGCAAAAAATGACAGATTCAAAGTATATTCATATGTTATGATTGACAAATGATATATCTGATTGAAGCTGAATCTGTGAATTAATTTAGAGTCAAATTATTGTCATAAGTAATATGTTTTATATTATTTTACATCTAGATAAAACATCGAATTTATTTCATTAATATTTAAAAAATATTTACAAAAATAATATATATAATAATAACACACGACATATTAATGTTTTAATATTATTTGTCAAATATCTAAAAAACATTAATTTTTTAATAAACACTATGAAAAATAATAAAATGAAAATTCTCCAATCAAGATAGTTTCAAAATTAATAAATTTTATTAAATATTCTTTCATGTTTATCGGTTAAAAATAAATATAGATATCTTGGAATATAGAATTTTAAAACATGAGTCAAATATATGAAAGATATACCTGGAACCTGGAAC